ATGTATGTACCAAAATTTCAACAAAAGGTAAAGTATAAGCATTTGGAAGCATGTGATAAATTCTTTCATAAAGCAAATCAGCACTAATTTTTTATTCTTCTCAACTATGAGGTTTTTATATATAGCAAATATTCTCTTTTCAGTTTTAACTTTGAAATATAAACACGTACTAAATAAAATTTTTTTAAAAATTGCCTTAGAGAAATACTATTAAGCTACCATTAGACTATACTAAGAACACTTTATACTATACCTGTTCCAAAGTCTGACTAGGAAGATGGGCCTCTGTCATAACCAATCCATAACGCTGAGTCGCTAAATTTCTCATTTCACTGTAAGTAGCCCAGTCATGAAGAGCTACTGTCGTTAGATTGTAGAAAGTCTTGTCTAGGTAGTGAGTTACATAAGCTTCAAAACAAACAAAGAAAAAAATCAAAACCTTTTTTTGATTCATGATAACAGTAGGAAAGGAAGAAAAATGACACTAAAAAGGAAACAACTTGTCTTTGCACATTAAATTTCTTCCTTTAAAATAAGGTGCTAGGAATGGGACTTCCCTGGTGGTGCAATGGATAAGAATTTGCCTGCCAACACAGAGGACATGGGTTCCATCCCTGGCCGGAAGATTTCACATGCCATGGAGCAACTAAGCCAGTGCACCACAGCTAATGAGGCTGAGCTCTAGAGTCCACAGGCTGCAACTAGCAAGCCATGGGCTACAACTACTGCAGCCTGCACTTCATGAGAAGCCACTGCGACGAGCAGCCCACGCACCACAACGAGAAGTCCCCACTTGCTGCACTTAGAGAAAGCCCACACAGAGCAACAAAGACCCAGTGCAACCGAAAATAATAATAACAAATGAATTAATTAAAAGGAAACGACTGAGAGCTAAAAAGTGTTCTTTAAATAATAAAGTAAGCTGCTAGGAAAACAAAAATGAAGAAACAAAAAGGAATTCAAGAATAAATGGACTAATACAAAGGAAGATTTTTCTCAAGGTTTCGTTTTTGTTATTTAACAGAGCAAACACATATAGAATATGACCCTAAGAAGAAAACCAGAACACTCACCTCGAATGTCAATGAAACGATTGAAAAACCGAATTGGATTCAGAGAGAAAAAAAGGGCCAGGTCTTTCATGCCAACTTTGAAAGGGTTTCTGTCATCCAGCTTTAAATGAGTATGCACAGAAAGTCGCAGGTCCTTCTCTATTTCTTTGCACAACTTGTCCAGCAAATGCTATTCAGAAAAGAATTAATACCTTAAATTTTCAAAATGACATTCCAATTATATGATTCTTCTAGATGTCCATGTTCTCAATGTGAAGAGCTTTACACTCAGTACAATGATGAAAAAGTTTGTCAAACTGTCAAACTAAATACTCTCTGGTAAAATACTGTTTCACTGGGAAAGTGAAATTATTTTGCTACCCATTTTAAATCAATGACTTTTTTTTAACCAGGAAGCAGTCAGATGAGTTCTAATGAGTTCATTAGTATTTTAAGTATAATACCCTTGCAAAGAAAATCAAAAGCTAATGTCTGGTAGTTTCACCACAAGGAACATGAATATACAACATGAAGCATAAAATTTATATAAACCAGAACAAAGGAAGAAAGATCCTGAGAATATGCAAGAGAAAAATTTTTAAATGCTTCCATGTAATAATTATCAAAAAATCACAAAACTCACTGAGCTAACAGCAATGAAATTAATCATCTTTTCTGGTGTAACATGGGGTTCTAAACACTGACCAAGACATGTACCTTATTTTCTAAATATGAATATTCAGCACGAGAAATTATATTAAAAATCTCACATTTTTATCAAACCTGAGTAAGATTTATATTGTAAAACTCACTCATTTTTAATTCCTCCCTCCATATAAAAATACTGATGGCTGAAAATACAGTTTTAAAGATAGCAGTGTTTACAACACACACTTCATTAGAACAAGGAAAGATGCATTTAAATTGTTACACAAGAAAGTGTTTACTTTTAAATATAAAAGATTTCAGTCATTAGCTCTCAAAATGAAATTCAACATTGACAGTTGTCTTAATTCTATTACCATGAGCAGCAGACAGTACTCTACCAATTTTGCATTTGCAGTCTTCTAATGAATAGGACTTTAAATTCAAATATACTACTTACTAAAGTAAAAGAAAAAAAACTTCCAAATTTCTAATCTGGATTTCTATACAAAAAATTAGGAATTAAAGACCAATTAAGCACAATAGTGACAGTTCCTTTGTTCCAGACAGTGCTTTGTAAGTAAGAATCACAAACCTGTGAAAGTCTGTTTCAACCCAAAAAGTTTTTCCAAACACTGCATTCCAAACACATCTTAAGCTTTTCAATCTCAAATGTTACCTCATTTAAAATTTCCATAATTTCCTTGTCATAGCAATCCAGAAGTATTTCATAGGACTCCAAATGCCTCGCATGCATCATGGCAGGTACACAGTCACGTAAAGCACTGAACATGTACTAAAGAAAAAAATTAGAATGTACATGAATTTAGAAAAACTACATCTCTAAATTATATTGCAGAAGTCACCTATCTTAAAAGACAAAGCCTCAATCTGAAGGCTGTTTTTCTACACATGACTATCTTACTTTCCTAAGTAAGAGTTGAATTTTATTCTCTAAAGCATATACTAAAACCAAAAAAAAAAAAAATCACGTTAACTAATCCTTTTTATCTTGAGCATTCAAATACATTCATTTCCACAAGGAAATGGAAAGATCTGAATACCTTGCTGACAATTAAGTCAATTATTTTGACACAAACTAAAACCNCCTGCTGACAATTAAGTCAATTATTTTGACACAAACTAAAACCCAGTGAAATGAGAATGATTAGGAATAAGAGAAGAGTTAAATATATATTCAAATTAATTTGTATTAATATAAAATTTATATGTATAGCACTGTTAAAAAACAGCACCAGTTTTTAAATGGTTTATTAAATGATCTATTTTAAAATTAACTAAAATGGTTTGACAGTGAATTAATAAAAATGAAGAAATAAAGTTCTTTACACTATTCTTTTACTTACATGTAGTCTGGCTGCATCAACAGCATTTTCATATACATCATCTAAATAAATTGGGAAGACAGCTCGATGCCAGTATAGAAAACAACAATCACATTGTGTCTGGACTCTACAATGTAAAGTAGTAATTAGTGGTACCAAAAGTGAAGCAACCCCCCAAAATAATGAAAAGAATGACATTACATACTGTAAAGGTAAGAGTGTCTATTCATATCTCTATTCCCTAACCCAAAATTAGCATAGAAAAGTCACAAAATAAATATTTTTCAAATAATGGTAACAAAACAGTCCAATATCTGACACTGTTATAATTTTATAAATGCATTTTAGTTTTAAAGCATACTTAAAAAATATATCTTTAATTAAGATAGTTTAAATTTTCAGTATTATTTGATATGACTAGACTTACAAGACCTGCACCACATGCACCATTTTACCTGTCTTAAAGTTGAAAAGGAGACCTTTCAAAAAACTGTGACCAAAACAGCAACCACAAAAACCAGTGGCACTCAACCTATTTATTATCTTTGCCAAGTTACCATTTCATGCTTTATAGGGCAACAACTTGATCATAAATATCTTATAGTGAAGAAAAGTTCAGTATTTCTTCCATGGATAGAAAGTGAAATGCCACTAACAACAAAAATCTGAGCTTCTCCGAATAACAAACACATTATGCTATAAATATGAGCATTAAATAAAAATTGTGCAGTAATCTCAGTTCGGCTGGAAATCAAACTTCAGAAAACCCATTTTCCTCTCTAAGAAACTCAATGCTTATTTGATAAAAAGAAAACAATAAAGCCACAGGAGTTATACAAATAAGCCTTCCAAAAATGAATCCATCTTAGTGATTGTCTAACCAACAATGTAACTCAAATTCTGTACCAAATAAAATTATGGAAAACCATGTGAGATGGCTCTAAGTCTCTCACAAGTAGATGAAGGCTTGTTATAAAGCAGCAACTCTGAGTCCATCAGAGATACCCATCACAATAAGCAAAATAGTTCCAGAGTCTGCCAATCCTCTAAGGGCTATATCACATTTTTCACGTTGAGTTCTTCCAAAAGCATCATCCTTACTACAGAAGACAAGTAAAAGAAATACAAACCCTTGTCAGAGTCTCATTCTAGTCATGCCACAGATGTTACAAGGAGGAACCAAAGGTCTACCTAGATTATATTCCTTCTATTGCTAGCCTATTTAAAACAAAACAAAAAAAGCCCTGATGTTTCCTTCACCCGTATCTTTTGTTACCACTGCAGATCCCTACTTACCTTTCTCGAAGTTCACTGATAAGATCCAGCTTTTTCATGACTACTTGAAGTGGAAAGAGTTCTTCATCTTTAAATGTTTTCTATCAGGGAGGGGAAAAGCACAGAGAAGTTGCACTTGAAGGACAGGTTTCTAAGTCAGTAAAAAGGGAAGGGTGAACCCTCAGGTCTCACTTTTACCCTGTAAGTAACAGCAATACCCTTACCATCTGTGTGCCCACGCTCAGCGCCAGAGAAACAATAAGTCGTCGCTGCTTTGTGCTTGGTCCATTTAGAGTGTTTTCAGCCAAAACTAGAGCAGAGAGCACATCAAGACGCTGTTCACTATATTTTTTGTCAGAGATTACTCTTTTCTTAAAGATAAAAGGAAACAGGACACAGCAGCTTTAAATTTGAGGCAGTAACAAAAGACTCATGAGGAAAAATTTTCCAGTTATCTTTTCCATGATTCAACTTAACAGACAAATACTTAAATACTTAAAAACAGACAAATACTTAAAAGACAAATACTTTCCCTGTTCACCTCTTATGATAATGTCAGATGCTTTATTTTCGTAACATTCTTGCTGAGCACCGTCATGAACAGCAAATTACTAGGGGTACCTCAAAGTTACCGTATCAATTTAACAAGGAGATAATTTAAGAAAGACACAACATTATTTTAGAAATGCACAGTATGTCCTTTTTTAGTAGAACTGTGTTAATGCTGGAAATTCAGGCTAAAGATAATCCTGATCACTCTCAGTAAAATCATGGAATACCTTGGAGATAATAACCAGGAATAGTGTGGATAAACAGGTTTAACCAGAAAACACAAAACAACAGAAGGGCAAACTAAAAAGAAAATATAATTATGCTTTTATACCTTGGCCACAGAAATAGAATTAAGAGCCTGATGCTGAAGGTGCTGTGTTATATGCGAGACTGAATCAGCCACAACCATGCTTCTCCTGTAGAACATATGCTCTATCGCCTAAAAACAATCAGAAGTGATTCTGTGAGAATCAACTTAAAATATTTAGCCACAATTCTAGAGTATCTTTACGACTTTGAGCCTGCTAAGAAATTTATAAATGAAATGAAAAAAGCACTACTATAAAGGGTAAGATTGGTCAATTCAACTATATTAAAATTACAAATTTTTGTTTATCAAAAGCCACTATGAAGAAAATTAAAAGATAAACCAATGTATGAGAAAATGCCTGCCACACACAAGGGGTTAGTACTCAGACATGTAGACACCAAAGGAAATAAACACTTTTTTTAAAAGGCAAATAATTCAACAGATACCTGAACAAAAGACATGAAAATATTTTTCACAAAAGAAACAGTTAATAATATTTGAAAAGATATTGTCATTAATCACCAGGGAAATGTTAAGTATAAAGTCATCTATAAACACTAATTCATAAGTACATGTGCATGCACACGCACGCACACGTGCGCGCGCGCGCGCGCGCGCACACACACACACACACACGGTTGATAATACCAATGTTGGCCAGGTAGGGAACAACAGAAATCTAATATATTGACGGAGGGATGTAAACTGATGTTTGAAAACTGATTACTTTGAAAAATAATCTGGCATCATCTTAAAAAGCTGATTATATACATAGCATAAAACCCAGCAATGCACTCATAGGTTTATAACACCTCATAAAAACTTCTGCACAATGATACCACAAAACATAAATTAATACAAGAATGGCAACATGATTTAAAACAGCAAAAACTGGGAACAACCCAGAAGTCCAACCCCAGGAAGACAACACAGTAATGATAATTAATGAATGACAGCTACTGATTCCAACATGGGTGAGACCAAATAAAAAATTCTGAGTAAAAAGAAACCAAGACAAAGAGTACATGAGACATCACTCCATTAGTACAAACTTCAAAAACATTTATAACTAAACAATGAGTGGGTTGATAAGTTCAGTCATATGCCACAAACTAAAAAGAAACAAGGGAATGATAAAGTTCAGGACAGTGGGTCCTCCGAAAGGGTAGATTAAGATGCAATCTGGGAAGGACAAGACAGGGGGCTTTGAAAATACTGGTAACATTCGCTTTCCTAAACGGGGTAATAGGTTTTTAAGTGTTTATTATTTTTAAATTATGCTTACATATTAAATAAAAGATATACATGCATTTATACATATATGCACTTCTGTATTTGCATTTTATTAAAAATATAACTAATAATATCTTAAAGGAAAAAACTGCTAAAAATCTAAAGACAAGATCTCCAAACTATCTTTATTTCCTAAGCAAATCTAAAGCCACTATTAACAGAAATTCACTAACAAATCTTTAGCTCAAGTTTTACAAAAAGCTACAAGTAGGCTCTCCTGCCTATGAGTTTTATTTTTTTACTTAAGAGTTTGCTAAGAAACATTTTACCACATTTTCAAAAGCAATCAAATCCCAAGAACACAACACTTCCTCTAAATTACAAAATAAAGAGCCTCATGCTGACTAGCCTCATATGCATTTTAATGCTATAAAATATAACATTTCATGTGTAGTTTTTAAAACTCATGCAACACACTTAGAACTTTCCTGAGTAAAACTACTAATATTTTGACTAATCTTTTCATTTTCCTTCTTTTCTCTTTAACTACATGTTAACTTTTAACAAAGTTTAAGTATATTGGCCATTCACAGAAAATTATTCAGAAATTTCTGTCACTGGCGAGTTCCTTTATCTAAGAGACAAATATACATTCCCATAATTTTTTATATTCATAATCATGAAGTCAAACCGTACCCCCCAAAATCCTACTTTATGCTCAGATAATTTCTCAATTATAATGGCAAGGTAAAATAATCCAAAACTTACCTTGAGAAGTTCAACAAGCCTACATAATGCCTTAACTGATGTTTTGGTCATTGGCTTTTGCATGGACATGTAGAGATTCATTGTGGTTTTAATAATGGTACTAATACTATATGCATATAAAAAGCCCTATAAAAAACCAACATAAAACATCAATTAAAATCACAATAAAAGGTTTCATTTCAAGATTTCATTCTCTATGTGATAATAATCTTTCAACTCACCAACATCTAATGTTTCTAGGGTGCATTTAAGATTTTGAAATACTCTTTACACGCAGTATTATACATGGTGGTGAAGTTTCAAAGCATCCCTTTAAAGTTATGTAACTTATCACATACTAGAAGGTTGGTCCTATTGACATTACAGCATATAATTGCAATTAAAGAATATTTCCATTAAAAAAACAAAACTTTCAGAGAAACGACTGGGATGTCAGGAAGATATCTATTCATCCTTATGTTACCTGCCAGACAAGAGGATTAAGGACTCCTATTTGCTGCAGCTTAAGACAAGAGCTGAGGGCTCTAAGGAAGTAGGAACTGAAAAATGAGAAAGAGCTGCTCTCTGGCCAGTACAGACATTCAACAGTATTTCTCAGTTCCAAACCAATTTCCCCTTTCTTTTTCACCCAGACCAACTCCTACCATCCATCTGCTACCATGTCCTCTGCTTATGTTGCTGCTAATCAGACTTTCTCTCCTTCCAGCCCAAGAACAGGTTCTCTCTTTCTCTTACCCTTCTACTTACAAAGAAAGCCACAAGTCCTGTGAGGATTAAAAAAAATTTAGTGCTAATAAAGCCAAAGAAAAAGGATAGAATACAAAACAAGAAAAAGGGTATTACCTCTCAAATATATTTTCATTTAGATCCAAGAAGGACACACAGAAACAGAATAATGGAGATTCCTTGCATTTATAAAGAAGGACCAAAAAGAGATACATGTACAGTTTAGAGATGAACCTAAACTATATTATTTCGAATATATCCAAGGAGCCAGGGCAGCAGCTATATGCCAGTGATTCTCAACCTTTTTTTCCATCTCCACCATGAGTAACAGTGGCTGACTAAAGCAATGACAAAATGCAGGGAGGGGAAATTTCTGTGAACCAGTAACAGCTCTACGGTGAAGAGATGCGACAAGTAAGAGGACTAAGAAATCAGAGAGCAGGTAAAAGAAAGCCACAAGTCCTGTGAGGATTAAAAAAAAATTTAGTGCTAATAAAGCCAAAGAAAAAGGATAGAATACAAAACAAGAAAAAGGGTATTACCTCTCAAATATATTTTCATTTAGATCCAAGAAGGACACACAGAAACAGAATAATGGAGATTCCTTGCATTTATAAAGAAGGACCAAAAAGAGATACATGTACAGTTTAGAGATGAACCTAAACTATATTATTTCGAATATATCCAAGGAGCCAGGGCAGCAGCTATATGCCAGTGATTCTCAACCTTTTTTTCCATCTCCACCATGAGTAACAGTGGCTGACTAAAGCAATGACAAAATGCAGGGAGGGGAAATTTCTGTGAACCAGTAACAGCTCTACGGTGAAGAGATGCGACAAGTAAGAGGACTAAGAAATCAGAGAGCAGGTTGCTTCCTAAGAAGTGACAGTAAGATCAGAACTTGGGGTGTGCATGCAGGAAAGAGTCGCAAGTCTTACCTTGTCAGCTACAGGACTATTACACCAGACCCTGAACCTACTGTAGCACTGGGAAAAGTTAGAAAGCAAAGACAAGGAACAGGTAAAGTTAACTCTAAGGCAGGCAGAAAGAGAGGTTTTCTTGGGGGGAGAGGTGGGAGGGGGCAGAGAGGTCACAAGCTACTATCACCTCATTCCCAGATGGTCATTAATTTGTGAAGGATATACAAGAAGGATGTATTTTAAACATCTAAATGGGGTGGGGGAAGGTCTGGGGTCTGTTTCTGTCAATGGCAGAATAGAGAAGTTGGACCAACCTTCCCATATAAAAGAATCAAAATCTAGACAAAACATTTTTTTTTTAACTCTTCGAAGATATCAAAGAGCTATCAAGAAAATAAGGAACCACAGAACCATCATAGGGAGAAAACACAAACCCAGAGACATGAACCCGGCATTTGAGGCTGCTTTCCCATAGAGGCATCTGCCCATTCCAAAAGAGGATAACAAAGACAGAAGCCAGACATACCTTTCAGGATCCCTGAGGATAAAAATAGGAGCTCATGGCCCATCAAGGAGAGGAGGGAGTCCTGCTAAATCAACCAGGCTCTGAGTTGGGATTCTTAAAAACTACCCCCAAAAAGAAAGGGTGAACTAGAAAACACAGCCACCATACAATTTAGGTCCAATTTAGATCATCTAAACCCATGACTGGGCTGAGGTAATCTCAGTTACTAGTTGTCCTAGACTAATGTGTATAGGAAGCAAATATTAAATCCTCTGTGGAGGAAGAAAAACAATACCCAGATCTTCAAATTATGTCTACAGTTCTATATACAATTTGTGTTATTAAAAATTACCAGGCATACAAAGAGATAAGATATATCCAAAAAACAAACAACAAAAAATAGATAATAGAAATAGCTAGATAATGCAATTATTGGACATGGGCTTCAAAGTAATTACACTGAGTATGCAGAAGGAAATAAAACACAGAATTATTTCTGAAAATTGGAAACTATAAACAAGAAACAAACTGAAAAGTAATTAAGAACTAAGAAAAAATTTTAAACGTCAGTAGACGGGTTTAATAGTAGGTTAGATGAAGAAATACTTAAAAAAGAGACTAGAACAGGAACAGTACTTAAGGAGTTGATAACGGAGAATTTCCCACAAATTCCAAAAGCTTTACAAATCCCAAGTAGCAAAACATAGAAAACCTCATGTAGGTCATCAAAGTCATATTGCTTAAAAACCAAAAAGCAAATTTTATAAGCAATCCAACAAAGACATATATTGAAAAAAAAAAAAACCCAGCAAAACTGACAGCTGCCTTCTCAACAAAAACAAAGGAAGCCAGAAAACAATAAAAAGTTAAGTGAAATTTTAACAGTTATTTCCACAAGTAGAAAGATGAGGAGATGCAAGAAGGATAAAAAGCAACAGAACAGGTAAATATATGGGTAAATCTAAATGAATACTATTAAAGACAACAGCAACAATGCCTTATACAGTTTAAAATATACATAGAATCAAAATACACAACAGGAGCACAGGTGAGAACGGGTAAATAGAATTAAAAGGACTGAAGAGCCTTATACTGTCTAGAAAGTGAATTACTCATTTATATTGGAGCTTAATGTTCAATAATGCATCTTAAAATCTCTTCAGCAACCACTAAAAGAACAGTAAAATACTGAATGAAAGTAACAGAAGGAAAAATAAATAAAAATAATTCAAAAGAGAGCAAGAAAGGAAAAGAATACAGACACAGAACAAGTGAGACAAACAGAAAGCAACTAATCAGGTGCTAATTAAATATGAGTATCAGTATTGACATACATTAAAAAGTTTCATTGGAGAGAAATATATGTTGCTTAAAGGAGACACACATTAAATAAAGGAGCCAAACAGGTTGCAAATAAAAGGATGGTCACAGAAGGACCTTGCAGACAGACCTAATTAAAAGAAAACTGGTACAGCTATGTTACTATCGCACAAGAGACCTATGACAAAAAGCATTATCAGGTTTGCTGTCAAAAGGTTTGACTCACCACTAGGCTATAACAATTCTAAATGTTATGTGCCTACTTAGTCTCAAAATACATAAAATGAAAGTTGACGAAGCTACAAAGGATAAGTAAGACAAATCTTTAACACAGTGGGGGATTCCAACAGTTAATTATCTCAGTAACTGACAAAATATTCAGACAAAATAACAAACAAATATGATCCTACTTGATATGTATAAAATACCATGACCAACTAAAAGCAAACTACGCTCTTTTTAAGTGTACATGAAATGTGTGCCAAAGTTGTCCACAGCCCGATCCACAATGCAAATCTCAACAAACTTCAACAGTGAAAGTATTTTCATACTGGGAGAAATCAATAATAAAATGGTAACTAGGAAATCCTCATGCCTTTGGAAATGAAGAATTCTATTTCAAAACAATCAAGAGAGCAAAGTATAAATCACAACAAACTTTTTAAAGTACTTACTTTGAAGTAAAGAATATTAGATACAACACATCAAAACTTATGGGATACAGCTAAGAAGTCAGGACTTGCATGGAGTGTAGATTTGCATACATTAGATGCATATATTAAAAGCATATATTAGAAAATCTAAACAAGGCACACAGATCCAAACTTACATAACCAAATCAATTTCAGTTCTAAACACAAAAACATATCCTACCCTTTACAGTTCTTTCACAGTGTACCTTCTGTACACTGGATTAACAAATAAATGATCCAAACATTCTAAGAAAGAAGGTGCAACTACCTGTATAAAAACATTACATCTACTGGTGAGGTCTTCAGCAAATTTATCCATTCTCTGCTCTTTAGATAAAATAGATTCCATTTTCATCATCCATGAGCTCACAAAGACGTAGTAAGACTGTACATCTCTAACAAAGGAAAATATTGAGGTTATTCAGCACAGGAAATAAAATTTACTTCCATTTCTTCATACTGGCTAGCATAAAATATTTCCTTGCAGCAGCCAATTCAAAATACACATGTTATACACACACACATAATTTGCTTAAGCAACAAATATTCACTCAATGTCTATACAGGCCAGGCACTAATTTTCAGTACTAAAAACAACAAACAGCAGTAACAAAATAGACAAAAATCTCTGCTCCCATGAACCTGACATTCTAGAAAGAAGAGTTGTGCAATAAAGCAATCAGTAACTGAACTCTGAGATGTCAGCTATGTGCTACAGAAAAAATATAGCAGTGAAAAGTGACTAGGGCAGCAAGTACAGTTTAAACACAGGGATCAAAGTAGCCTTATTGAAAAAGTGATCATTAGCCAAGATTTGAAGGAGATAAATAAGTAATCCACGAAAATATACAACAGATGAATTTTAGGAAAGTAAAGAACAAATGCAATCCTCTCACAACAGAAGTGTGTGCCATGCTGCAGTGCTAAAAGTCGTCAGGAGGACTGAAGAGCAGAGAGGGCGGTGAGAACAGAAAGGGAGATCAGAGATACGCAGGGGTGAGTGGGTGGAGGAGCAGGCAGAGTGCAGAGTAGGAAGGGGTTTGTATAAGGCCTGGGAAGGACTTCAGTGGAAAGCCTCAAGTGAAACTGCTCAGTCGTGGGCAACTCTCTGCAATCCCACGGACTGCAGCCCACCAGGCTCCTCCGTCCATGGGATTTTTCAGGCAAGAGTGCTGGAGTGGGTTGCCATTTCCTTCTCGAGGAGATCTTCCTGACTCAGGGACTGAACCTGAGTCTCCCACACTGCAGGCAGACGCTTTACCTTCTGAGCCACCAGGGAAGCCCCCTCTAGACTCAACCTTGTTGGCACCAGGGACTGGTTTACATGTAAGATGATTTCCCCAGCCTGGGGGAGCTGGGGTGAATGGTTATGGGATGATACAAGCACACTGCACTTATTGGGCACTTTATTTCTATTATTATATCAGCTCCATCTCAGGTCATCAAGGCATTAGATCCTGAAGGCTGGGGACACCTGCTAGCGGATTTGAGCAGACTACTCTGAGGAGGATCAATATCACTTTGGTTGGCATACTGAAAACAAACTACATAAGGGACAATGGTACAAGCAGGAAAACCACTTAGAAGTTCCTGTGTAATGCAGAGGAAAGGGGATGACAGCCTAAACCAGACTGGAAGTATATAGCATCTGAAAATAAAAGCTAACATTTACAGAATGCTTACTAAATGCCCAAGCACTGTTATAAGAACTTAACACAAATTAACTCATTCCAACCTCACATTAACCTTGTAAGTAACTAACATATTACGATCTCCATCTTATAGAACAGGAAATTGACACACAGGGAAATTAAGTAATGGGCCCAACATCATACTAGTACTCAGCTGAGCCAGGACTTAAGCCCAAATCTAGGAAACTGTCCCAATCTGGAAAAGCTGAATCAGTAATAAAATTCTACTAAGCAGGTTGCTTATTAACACTACATCACTCTATCAATGCATATCAAATCACTAAAGATGAGAACTTTCAGGGCACAACTATTTAAGGTATACTCCTCTTTTTTAAAAAAATAATAAATTAATTTCAATTAATTCAATGGGTTTTAAGGAGGTGAAACCTCACCATCAAACCTGAGAAAAATTATTTCTGCTGAGCCAGGATTCCACTAAACAAACACCACCAACAGTTGCACTCTGCCTCAAATGGTGCTAAAATTTATTATTTGAGTTGTGGGTGATTTGATTTAAAAGCCTGGAACACAAATAAAGGGCAGAATCCCAGGGCAACACCTCCACCTTTAGGCGAACGTGATCAGGACTCAAGCAGGACTCCCCTCTCCTGGGCTTTACTTCAGTGTTGTGAATTTGAGGTTTCTTCGGCAAGTTCTGAGAATGAAAAAGACACTGCGCCCTTCACTCAAAGGCGCTCTGCAGGGACTACAGGTTTATGTTTGAAATAAAAGAATTTAGAAACATTAAAATGCCATCATATGGGGGGACGAATCTTTGAAAGTCAACTTACTCAATTTTTCAGTTAAGAAGACTCAGTTCCCATAGCACCGTGGACTGCCTATGCAGCGCCGGTGTGAGGGCCTTGCTCTCAGGGCAGCTCACACAACTCTGCTGCAAAAGCGAGGAGCGGGCCGCGCGTGGGTCTGCCTGGCCCCTCTGACGTGGACCTAGCGGTGTGCCCTGGCAACATTCATTTCTCTAAGACTCATTTTCCTTACCTGAAAATGGGATGAACATAGTACTTTATAGTAGTGTGAAGGGCTTGTGCTCTAGAGGTGAACTCCCTGCTCTGCCACACATCAGTTGTTTAAATTTGAGTAAGGTCACTCTCTCTGTATCTCAGTTTTCTCACTTATAAAATGGCCATAACAACAGTATCTACCTCACAGGATTTTCTGATGATTAAAAAAGAAGACATATATGAAGTTCCTGGAATATACTGGCTTATTGAAAGCACACAACTAAATATTAGTTGTGATTTTACTATTTCCCACATGAGAGGATTGTTACAGAGTTTATGTAAGACTGTGTTTAAAATCCTTTAGCAGAAGGCCTAGGACAAGCTTAAAAACACTGGCAATTACTGTTAATATCTGTTCATCCTTTGGTTCTGACTGAACTTCTGGAGCCACAGAATTAAATCTGTTCCCTCTTCAACCTGAACGCCCTCCAAATATTTAAAGAAAACACATCATTCTTCAGATTTCTCTTTTAAAGGTCAAACCATATAGAGACTTTTCCATTGAGTCTTCAAAGGTCATGGTTCTCAGATCCAACATCCTGATCAGCTTCATTCACGGATGCTGCACTTTGTGGCCCTCTTAAAACATGGCACCACCAAACACTAATTATGTGACCAGTAAGAATTCAATGCAACTATCAATTCCCCTAGCCTAGACACGGCAACTGATTTCCCAAAATTTGGGTATAATTATTAATGTAGTCTAAATACAAACTGACATTTTTAGCAATTGTATTGCATTGTTAAACAATGTTAAGCCTCTGATAACAAAAATATCCAAATCTTTTTTAAGATTACTGCTAATAAATCTGATTCCTGTCTCTCCATCCTACTGAATTCATCTCTGTAATCTAAACCCAAACTTATGTCTTCATCTCTCAACTCTGTCTTACCATGTATTGGAAAGCCCTGAAATCTCTGCCCTGAGTAGTCCTGCCTGAATTGAGTTGCTATCACTCTCCATGACTTTCATCACAGGACTTGGGAGTACTAAAAGATGCTTTAGGGGATCTCATACATCCCACACACCCTCCTCCTCTCCCACCGTACAGGAGTGACGCAACTGCCCCCTCAACAGTGATAATCAACAGAAAGTGGGTAGTTTTTCGTATTATCGTATAACCATGTTACAGATAAAAGCCGCGATCAGCACAGGGCCAGTGGCAAAGTCCCATGACACTTCACTTAAAATCTTCATCTAGGTCAACATAAAATTTTAGCACTATACTCCAGGGAGGATGCAATATACTCCAGTGAGTAAACTTCACTGTTGAGCCAGATGATGAGAACATGGGAGTTCATTATACTATTTTCTCTATTTTGTGCATATTTGGAATTTTACATAGGAAGAGAAGCTAAAAGATGTAAATCTTAAAAGAAACTAAGAGTTAAAAGTGTTCTTTTAGGGAATTGGACTAAGGTATAGGGGGCAATTCAGAAGAGGACAATTAGTTTTCCCTTTGAAACTTTAGTACTTTTTAACTGCTTAAATATGTGCATACATTACTTTCACAAAAATAAAAAAAGGATGGCATCAGAGTCAATCGTGCAAAAATCAACACTGAAGCATGCGCACGCAATGTTAACGTCATCAGATGGCATCGACGGCAGTGGCTTCACTTCACACAAAAACACACAACGCCTGATGAAAGAGTATGTATGTGTATGTATGAGAGTACGCACAGGTACATGTATTTCCAAAAAGCACAATTTGTCCACATCTTAAGCTGAGGTTTAAGCCTAAAACATTTAAAACAAGAACACACTCCTAGAAAATAAATCTCCAAGAGACTGTCCAGCCTTTCCTCTGGTAATGAGTAACTATGTTTGATCTTCTAATCCAAATGCTTTCCATATATTCAGAATCAGTGTAAGAGTTGAAATATAAAATATCTAAGTATTTTCATTATGGGTACTTATAAAACCTACTTGGTAAGTGACTGAGCTTTCTGCTGTAGGAAAGTCTCTCTGTGTATTTTAATGGCCTGAAGACTTTTTTTGTCCAGAAGTTTGGCAGCTGCTGGTATTTTCTGGATCAAAAAATTATCAGGAAACCAAATAATATTAGCAGTTAGAGTGATGGCTGGTACCTGAAACAGGAAACATAACAAAGGGAGAAATCACTAAATGCAGGCTAAATAATGAACTGTTTAACAGTCCGACAACAGGTGATGGAAGACCATTTATTTCAAGAAAAATAATGATAAAAAGATAATCATTAATATGAAAAATTATGTCAACATGGCACAAACTTCATGGCAAGGCACTCCTGTATCTGGTGTGGAGCATGACATTAATTTTATTCTGCCTAAATATTAAACAACATACACATGCATGTGCACACACACTTAAACACACTCATGGATTTTCAGATGAACAAAAATATGTAAAAACTGAACAAAAACTTGAATTGTTATGACCTTTACTTTCATTTTATATTAGTGAAAAAATGCAAAATACATATCCAAGATGGCTCGGTTCTCATGGTCACTATACTTGATTCTACACATTATTTAAAAATTTTCAACTATGAAATCAGGTGCCACACCATGGAAACAGCAAAGACAGAAAAAAAAATTATTTCATATTTTTCCTACTTCAGTAATGGGAATGAATGACAAAAAGAAGGAAAAGAAAGAGAAGAGAAAAAAGTATTAATAGTTACAGGAAGTTCATGCATAGGGAAAGATCCAGAAAAGCACCTACTAATCTGTATTTATATGATGTGGAATTACTGGGTATTTTCATGTACAATGTTACTCATTTCTGGATAGCTTAGTTTTTTAAATGAATATTATGCTATTAGTTTTGTAACTATTATTACAAAATTATCATTTTTTGTAAGCAGGAATAAAACACATTTTAAAATATCTAGTTTTATCCAAAATCTTTTCCATCTACTCAAATTGAAAAAAACAGAAGTTACAAATTCTTACCTTCTTACAAATGTCCAATAAAGACTTGTAAAACTTTTTATCAACAGTTCGAAAAATTTGAAAGTGCAATACAAAGAGTCCACAAACTCCCACATACTTGTCTCTCTGATCAATTTCAGAAGGTTCGCCTTATAAAACAACATCATGAGAGAAAAACAAGAGTGTACTTAAAGTTCTGCTTTAAAGGAAATGAAAACCTTACAAACAAAAACCAAAAAATGCATTTTACATTACCAAGTCTGGCTTCTACATTTGCAAAAATTGAGCGAATACTATGTGCAAATTCTTCAGCAAAAGTGCTATTTTTTGACACAGATACTCCTCCATTGAGAGAATCAAACTGCTGTTCTATACAGGCCTATAAAGAAAACATTTAGAGAAATTTAGACTCTCATAAGTTATTATGACTTAATATGCTATGAAACAATTAAATATAGAATGATAAAATCCTACATTCATCGTTTTTAATTTTACTAACACTGAGGCTCAAGTTTTTAATCTAATCCAATATCTAAATCTTTCTGAATGGGAAATGTATATATACTTATATATTTGAGCACCAGTTATGTGAAAGTAATAAAACTGAACTGAAAATCTATAATCCTACATGAAGGGACACAGTGGTGCTTGGTGATGTACAAAAGGTATATCTGATGAAGCATGGGAAAGCATGTTTTATTATTTTAATTTACACTTTTAAGAAGAGACTATTTTTTCTGGTTACAATTACTCTCCTATCACTTTATTACATCATGTGTAGAAATGGCTCCTAGAAAAAGAATCAACAAAAAAATTCTTCTAAAATTAATGGATTAGTAGTTAAATTGGTATAAACAAGAGCTGTGATCATTCTGTAAAAATTGTGACCATCTAAAATGTAAATTAAAGGTAACCTTGAAACAGATTTTAAATGGAATATACATTTGACCCTTGAACAAGTGGGGGTTAGATCACATATAACTTATTACTAGCCCTCTGTATCCACAGTTCCTCTCCACACTTGGGAGTCAACCAACCATGGACTATGTAATACTGGAGCGTTTACTACTGAAAACTATCCATATACAAGTGGACCCATGCAGTTCAAACCCATGCTGTTCAAGGGTGTACTGTAATGCAACTTCTGGTGAACACTACCAAAGCAGTGTCATCTCACAAAACTTCCTGTGATGATGGAAATGTTTTATATATGTGCTGACTGGTATGACTGTTAGCCACAGCTGACTTTTCCCCTCGTTTTACTGAGATACCACCAGTATGTAACATATGTTAAGTTTACAGTGTGAGGGCTTCCCTGTGGTTCAGTAACAAAGTATCTGCCTGCCAATGCAGCAGTTCTGAGTTTGATCCCTGAGTCGGGAAGATCCCCTGGAGAAGGAAACAGCAACCCACTCCAGTATTCTTGCCTGGATTCCATGGATACAGGAGCCTGGAGGGCTATAGTCCATGGGGTTGCAAAGAGTCAGACACGACCGAGCACACACAAGTGTGACAACTATAATACATGTGGCTATTAGGCATTTGAAATGCTGCTAGTATGGCAGACAGTGATTTATTTTAATTTAAATTTAAATAGCCACATGCGGTTAGAAGCTACCTGAATTGTATAGATCCAAATTATATTCCCTGGGTAGGAAGAAATAAAACAGACTTTTAAGAGGCTGTTTCACAAACCTAAAATCTAGAGATTAACAACAAAAAAACACTGACACAACTGTTTATATACTAATCCTCGAACAGTTCTATCCCTTTACATAATTAAAAAAAAACTTTATCCCAAGTACAACCAGTATACTATTAATTTCATTAGCTACTAGATACTGACATAATTATATCTTACAACATAATCAATGTTTCAAGCTTAAGCACTTTTAAAGAAAAATACAGTCACAACAATGTGTTATAAAAGTGCCCCACTATAATTCTGAGCTGGGTCTACTAATAGAAGCTCATTTATTACAGTCTGATACAGCTCTTACCTGAAATATCATTCCATCAAGTAACTGCCCTTCTAGTTTCAGCAAGAACTTTTCAAAAGGCTTTAGCTTTTCCTCCTGAATTCCAAACTTCGAAGGATTGTGATGGACAGATTTCAGTAACCTTGTAGAAAAGTAGGAGAAAGACCTTCAACTTGGCAATAAATTCTTATATTAAAAATATCCCCCAAAATCAAAGTTCTATATTTGTCATTATTTATTTGGCTCGATACATTTGAAAATTTGAACAAAAATAATCCTAATATATTTAAATTTCTAATCACATACCTTTTTATATCATCTTCAATTCAGATACCTGGTATTCTCTAGATAAAAGTGAATACTTAATAGACTGAATAAAATGCCTTCACTTTAAAAAGTTTGGAGTATAAAACAAAACAAAACCAAACTGAGAATAAATAACTGTTACTTGTATAGAACAAGAAAAATAAACCTGGGTCCTAAAATAGTCAAATTAACATTCACTATACTTTAAGAATTAAGATGCTTTATACAAGTATATCATACTCTCAAAAAGTCCATCTGCAATTAAAAGAATGGTTACTGTCTTCAAAGAATATCTGAAATAAGATCCTTCTAAATATATATCTTCAGGTCTCTTAAAGGATCTGCACTATTTACTTTTTAGGAATACATTAACTATACAAAGAGAGTATTTTAAGCATTTTGGTTGCTCACCTTTTGTACATAGTCCAGTGGTCTTTTAACGTGATGTGATTATCAATAATTTCATCCAGAGTTAGCAAAACTGTTAGCAGCTCTCCCAAGTGCTCATACATAGTCTGTCAAAAAACCTTTAATGATTACCATTTAATCACTAGTTAGAAGTTAAGCTTCATGTGGATTTTATTTTTTTTTTCATGTGGATTTTAAAGTTAAACACACTTGGGATAATTACTAACTTAAAGCAGTGGGTAAGTTAAGCTACAGATGAAACTACTAATGCTCAAGATGGAACAGTCAGCCTAAAATTGGAAAACCCTTCACCCAAATTTCATCCTTAATCACGATACTGTAGATTCTCTCAGACCACTTAGAGCAGGGGTCCCCAACCTTCAGGATCTAATGCCTGATGATCAGAGACGGAGCTGATTTAATAATAATCAAGTGCACAGTAAATGTAATGTGCTTGGATCATCCCAAAACCATCCCTTCACCCCCCTTCCCCCACTCCTGTGTTCTGTGGAAAACTGTCTTCCAAAAAAGTGGGCCCCTAGTGCCAAAAAGGTTGGGGACCACTGACTTCGAGAGTCTGCACTGGGCCAGTACTAGGAAGAGTCACACTGACAGTGGGTCAATAACACCTCATCAAGTTCACAGATGAGAGAGCAAATGCAAAAGAAAGAAAGAAATCCTTTAAGAGCCTTGCAATAAGTGTAGTGCTCCCCAATCATATAAATGCCAAAGTAAAATATACTAAAAATTATTGTTTTACAAGTTGAATTACTTTTACCTGAAAATGAACTCCAGTTGTTTCTATAATTTTGGGTGCAATCCTGTAATATAATAACATCCAAGTTTAAAAGAAAACCTCATTTTTTGGTCACAGTTCATGTTTATTTTAAGGAAAACATCTCTTGGAATTTAAAAATGTATTTACTTTTATTTAGGCTTCAGTCACTAAAATTTATGCAACACAAGTTTACTATCATAGTCCACTCCCAAGAAGAGAACTAATGTTACTCTCCGCACCTATACCCAACTCGGTATACGTCAATATGTGGCCCATCTAGCTTGGGATGAAGCAGAGAAATAACAAAACTGATATTCATTTATTTCTAAACTATTAGAATTTCTCAATTTTCAACTAGAATCTTTACTATCCTACCCAAACTGGCATTTGGAAACTAGTCCTCTCTTCAGTTGGATTTATTTCTAGAGTTTTCATTCCTACTGAGAAAACAATGCATATAAATGGGATTATACCAAAGTCAAAGCCCCAGGATAATTCAATTTTACTTCCCAGAGAGTCAACCTACTCAACAATAAATAAATTAATACTTATATACTAAAGCACATGTAAATATTCAGCAAGATAGAATACTTTAAAAATTAAACACAAAATTCAAATAACTTTCATCTTTCTAGGACCGGGGTGTGGTAAAGAAGGGTCTCTTTGAATCACACACCAGGTTCTATAGGGGTTGGGGTAGCTATGCTCTCATTCCCTTCTGCCACGAGAAGAACTTTAGTGAGAACACAGAACATAAAATAAATATCTGACAGAGCAGAAAAACACGAGGCTGAGAAACAACACACTCTTCCATTTTATAAAGAGAGTTAAGACGCAGCATGGCAGAGAAGGAACAGTGAATGGACTGGTGACCCAAAGGACCAGACTGAAATGGCTATGGAATCCTGGCAAATCCTTCCTTTGGGCCTCAGTTATCTCTCTTCTCACAACTGAGAACCCCTAATCATACATCTAAACAAAGTGATTAAGACTGTAATTGAGTGGGAAAAATTAAGTATAAAGTTTTAATCAAATGCCAGATATTACTCTGTGGTGGTTAGGAATACTAACTAAGACAATTTGATCATTTTTCTTGATTTAGGGCAATGATATCCAAACTTGGAAGATTAGAAGTATAGATTATATGGTATAGATTATCTAATATAGATTATCTAGTCCCCTCTCCCTAAGATTCAATAGTTTAGGTGTTACATGATTCTAATGAGCCAAGAAAACTTCACTTCGAAAGCAATAAGAGAACTCAGTACATTCTATATTAGCCCTTTTCTCTACAATTAAATTTAAGATTATCCTGTCAACATTCTCATTCAGACAGATAATGGGTTCCTGCACCAGGGTATAAACTGTCTTACTAACCTCTGCATTACACACAACAAGGAGTGTTTTAAAACATCATGAGTGTTCAAAGAAAGCTGAATAAGTGAATGAAGGAATGAGTGAATAAGTGAGTAAACACACAAAAAACTTTTAGATATTTAGCTAGTTTAAGAAAAAACATTCCCTGCATCTCTATCAAAAATGCAAAATGATTTTAAAAATCCATTACTTGTTACTGATATACAGGGCAGCCAACTGATGGACTACATTCATCACCACTTCATAGCACCTCGTAACAAAACAAGACAGTTCCTGAAATGACAAGTTGAGTATATGTTACAAGTTGAGTAAATGTCATCATTTCTGACTGAGTTTTATGTTAACAATGCTAAACATAAACAATAGTGTTTTCCAGTAAAAATCTCCAGTTAATCTGCAGTAAGACAACTGCAAGCATCCTTCAAGCAATCAGTTCTTCATTTACCTCCCAGTCATTTCTACCTCTTTGCCTCCATAGCATTTCATTCATTCCTGTATTTTAAGTCTTGCTTATTTAAGTCTTATTTAAGTATTTAAGTCTGCTCATATAATTCCTAAGTGACAGAGACTGTCTTACTCCTTCTTTGAATAGCCACTGCCCAGTATGGTGGCTAATCTTCAACTGATTTTCAATTTCTGCCTATTAAATGGACATCTGAATGAACGAAGCTCAAAAGCTGCCAGTTTAGAAAGGGAAGGGAAAGGGTCTTCAGAAATCACTCTGAAATAACTTCAAATGTTTATAACCTTTAACCCTACCTATTAACAGGCTTGGTACACATTAAGTGAAATACAGATTATCCCAGGAGTGTGTTTGTCATTAGTTAACTCACACCTATCCTAAAGTATTTAGAATTTAATTAAATTTATGGCTGTTCTAAAAATAAGCCCTCTTTGGGCAGAATTTGTCGGTTTTGTGCACTGCTGTATCCCAAGCAGCAGTGACAGTTTCTAACATATGCCAGGCTCCCAGAACATTTGTCGACTGTATAAAATGAAATTACATGCAGCTGTGAGATCCACAATTTAAATTTTTAAAAGTGAAAAGAATGCATTTCAATTTTATTTAAACAGCTCCAGTTATATATCTTATTAAACTTCTATAAATCTAATAAAAGCAAAGACTAGAAAATGCAGGACAAACAGCACAAAGCAAAAGGCAGAAACGAGTTCTGATACATAAAAGACTATCTATAAAAGACAGAAAAAGAACCAATTAAAACAGAAATTTTCAGATCATATGAAAAAGCAAAATCCAAACAGACCCAGTTTTAGAGAAACACAACTGAAACATAATGACACTGAAAGGTTGAAAGAATAAAAAAGAATTAAAAAAAAAGAAAATGCTAACTAAAGTAGAGCTGGGGCAGTGATAGTAATATCAAATAGATTTTTATTAGCATCAGTATAGCTAATTAATATATATGTAATTATATATTATATACATAATTATTATCACAGTTTAAGAAGGTCATCACACAATAAACAATTCAATTTACTGGGAATTATTAACAATTCTAAACTCATAAGCACCAAATAAAATGTCCTCAAAATAAGAAATGCAAGATTTGACAAAACCAGATGGAGAAACTGACACCTTCACGTCAACCCTGCAAATCACCATTTCTCAGATCCCAGCCCAGCAGGCTTCCTGTTAAGTTCTGTCAACAGGTGGCACTAAAAGGAGACTTAAAAGGCAGGAAAGGGACATCCTTTCTATTTCTTGCTGTTTTTATCAACATAATCCAGGCAGGAGCAGTTCAACCCAGCAATGACAACCTGCCCCTCAGCACTACAGAAGCAATATTCAATCTTAAACTCTACCAGCACAGCCAGGCTGCACTGACTCCTCAGAGCTGTGATAATACTACTAGTCCCCTGGAGCTCCTCCTCCTAGCTCTGAGTCTAACAACCTGAACCTTTCTCCTCTTTTACCCTAGATGTAGAGGGGATGCGTCCTCTGGCTTACCTGCTTTTTCTTTCAGCCCTCCAATTCTTATGTAACCAATTCTCTAGATTTAATATCAATTCCTTTTTTCTTTAATTGAATACAGTTATTTACAATATTGTATTGTAAATACAGTTTCAGGTGTACAGCAAAGTGATTCAACTGTAATTTTTTCTCAGATGAGTTTCCATTATAGGTCAATAAAAAAAAATTGAGTACAGTTCCCTGTGCTATGTGGTGAATCACTGCTGTTTACCTATTTTGCATACAGTAGTGTGTACCTGTTAATCCCACACTCCTAATTTATCCCTCTCCCCACCTTTTCCCTATGGTGACCATAGCTTGTTTTCTCTGTGAGTCTGTTTCCGTTTTGTAAACACGTTACTTGTATTATTTTTAGATCCCACACATAAGCGATACATTTGTCTTTCTCTACCTCCACTTGTGGTATGATAACCTCTAGGTCCAGCCGCGTTGCTACAAATGACATTACTTCTCTGTGGCTGAGTAATATTCCACTGTGTATGTATACACCACATCTTCTCTATCCATTCATCTGTCGACAGGCGCTTAGGTTGCGTCCATGTCTCCGATACTATAAACTGTTGTATTATTGGGGTGCACGTTAACTTTTCAAATTAAGAGTTTTCATCTTTTCAGAATATATGCCCAAGAATGGTACTGCTGGACCAAATGGAAGCTCTTGTAAATCTCCCCTTTTGAAACGTCCTGTGTGATACCTGCTTTTGGATTGAACCCTGACTGACACATATCATCATAAAGGACAACTGCAACAAAATGCTCCCAATTAGGTGAGAAGACCAAAACAAAGCAGTAAAGATATAAAGGATTTGGACATATCAGCATGCTTGATCCAATGAAATGTATCAAATCTTACATCCAACAGTCAAAGTAAGTGGGATTATGGCTACCATTTCCTCATTTCCAGTTTTTGCTTTTGTCATATAAGCACTGCTTTTACAATAGGGAGGGGAGAAACAGAACTAATTTCATTCTTTTGATAAACCAAAAGACCTAGAATAACTTTACACTGTAAAATAAAACTTTACAGTAATGAAAAGTATATCTAAATTGAAACATATGGTTAAAAGCATCATATGCTGCTGCTTTTAAAACTTCATCCTTGTCCATGTAATAGCTTAATGAGCTCCATTAACCACTTTTTCTAACATAAATGATCTTTTCCTACCGGGTACAAAGTTTAAAATTGTTTTAAGAGGCATGGTGATAAACTGTCCATAAATGAAAGTATACAAAGAAACTTATTTTGATAGCTATGTCACTAAAAATGCTATGAAAATCTTTCAAGGATTACAATCTCCTTAAATATAATCCAATGCCAACGAAGTGCCTTACCCTCAGAGTACAATTTCTTAGCATTTGACATTTCAGGACTCTTTTCTGATTACATGATTTACTCAAACTTTTTTGGGAGGAAAAAAAAAAAAATCAATAAAAAGTAAAAACCACTTACCTGTAAGAATGAAATAAATCTCCCCATTTGAATTTGACAATCACCTTCCACCATGCTGGAATCTGTAGCTTTAAAAGGCAACATGAATATTTCAAGTTTTTATCTTAAAGTAAATCAACATCAAAAAAGGAAAATAATTTTTATTCATTAGGACATCTTCTAATCTGCATAGTATGAAAAATAGAATTTTACACTAAAGAGAAAAATGAAACAATCATTAATCACACAATTAAAAGCAACCATCTGTTCCACTATTTAATGAATTCAAGGAAAATCCTCATCCAGCTATTGTGCTTTATCACTTATAAAAATATTCACGAATCAATTTTATACAGAATTTGCTGCCACTTATTTACTGAGGTTTTCATCTGTTTACTAAACAAAAACATAAACCAACAAAAAATGTGACTGTTCACTGCTCAGATTAACACTTTACATGATCATAACAGTCCTAGAACTGTCAGTTAACTTTCTGTTTATTTCAATCTCAAAAAAGGCACCACAACATTACAATATGAAATTTTTTTTAAATATTTTAATTATTTATTTTTAATTTTTTTTTTCCATTTATTTTTATTAGTTGGAGGCTAATTACTTTACAACATTGCAGTGGTTTTTGTCATACATTGAAATGAATTAGCCATGGATTTACATGTATTCCCCATCCCGGTCCCCCCTCCCACCTCCCTCTCCACCCAATCCCTCTGGGTCTTCCCAGTGCACCAGGCCCGAGCACTTGTCTCATGCATCCAACCTGGGCTGGTGACCTGTTTCACCCTAGATATACATGTTTCGATGCTGTTCTCTTGAAACATCCCACCCTCGCCTTCTCCCAGAGTCCACAAGTCTGTTCTATACATCTGAGTCTCTTTTTCTGTTTTGCATATAGGGTTATCGTTACCATCTTTCTAAATTCCATATATATGTGTTAGTATACTGTAATGGTCTTTATCTTTCTGGCTTACTTCGCTCTGTATAATGGGCTCCAATTTCACCCATCTCATTAGAACTGATTCAAATGAATTCTTTTTAATGGCTGAGTAATATTCCATACAATATGAAATTTTAAAACTTACCTCCTTCTCCATAAAACAAGAGACCATTGTAAAATTTAGTTTCAGCCTGTTTAAAAAAATTAAAATAATTTTAAAGGTTACTATTTTTTTTTTTTAATTCCTAGGCTCTCTTCATTATTCCTATTTAATAATACACAGATAACTACATCAAACATACAAATTTACTTAACTTCAAAAACTGCTTATAATATAGGTAAATTCAATTTATCTTTAGAATAACAAAGATATTACTGATACTCAATTTCTTTAGCCTTTATCTGACCACTCTTAACTGTCCAACCTCCTCTCATAAGTTCATGAAAGAAAGCAACCATGTAGTATCAAAAATGTAAAACACAAAACAAAACAAAAAAAATGTAAAGAAGAAAAGATGAAATTTACCATCTACCAGTTTCAAAGGCTCACGGGTGAGGAAACACAAAACATTAAAAATTCAAACCTTTTTTAAAAAGTCAGTTATATCCAGAAGACCCAGTGTATATGACAAGTAATACAGAAGGAATGCAGGCCCAGACTCAAACCGTTACTACCAATAAAATGTTAGATGAGTGACACCCTCTTTAAGCTTCAATTTTCTCATCCATTCCTCACGTACCTCCCTGAGTGGTTATTACTGTTAAGAGGGTTAGCATGGTGTTTGGTAAATAGTACTTAGTGAATGGTCTCATTAGTATTGCTAAAATAAATACATAGCTTATCCAATATTCATGAAATATTTGTGCACACTTACACATATAAACACATATTTGCTTTTTTCATATTTGGTTTTAAATCATGTTTTTAATCTCTTAAAGAGTACAAATAATTACCTCATATTTTAATTTCTTGATTTCACAACAAAGTGCAGCATAAACAGTGATGACTTTGTTTAGGACCTAGTTTCATGAGGAAAAATACAAAAGGAAAGAAGTAAATTATAGAAGATAATTAAAGAATTTTTAAAAAAGATTTTTAGGTTTAGGAATCTGTACCTTGTTTTCAGTCTTGATGAGTTCCAAAAGGGAAGACTGTTCATAAGGCAAAAGCTATAGAAACAAAGGAAAATAAATTCCTCTTTAATTTAAAAAAAAATCATTAAAATTCTAAATACACAATTGAGACTAGCTCTATTTTACTGAAAGTTGTGTGAGACCCTATACTCAGCACCCGGCCCACAGCAGATGGGGACTGCTAACAGGTACAGGGTTTCTTTCTGGAGCGGTGAAAATGTTCTAAAATCGACTGTGGCACAAGTCTATGGATACACTATAAACCAAAAAAATTGTATGATACATAAATTACATCTCAGGAAAGCTGCTATTAAAAGTCAACACTAGTGCATTAGGACATATATGTCTAGCACATTTATGTCTAGTACATAATAAATGCTCAAAAATGTTACTAATTAAGTAGTAAGAGGCTACAGTTTCAAAGATGAAACAAAATAGAACAACCTCAAAATAGAAGAGTAGTTTATTTTATATAATTTTAAAAAAACTCCCATATTAAGAGCCCCTAAATAGTATAAAGGACCTTTTGAAAAATCATGGAAATATTCTTTATCTTGACTGGGATATGAGTTACAAGGGGATAGGTGTTTGGTAAAATTCACTGAACGGTATATTTTAAATCTACGCACTTTTCTGTATGTAAAATAGTCTCAATAAGAAAACAAAGCCTGAATATGCTATTCCAACCCTCTTCATTTTCTTGATAATGAAAGACTAAAGTCAGCTCAAAGACTCGAGTTGGTCATTCTTTAAAAAAAAACACATGCATGGCTTAGAGAAAAGGAAATTAACTATGTTTCTCCAAGCTTTTTTTTAGCTTTCTAGATCCCAAAAAATATATACACTGCATTTTTGAACACTATTTTCAAGGCATATATATTCTGAAAATGTATACATAAATTAAAAATAAACAAATTCCAACCTTTAATGCTATAGGATCAAGATTGAAATCCCAAACATCTCCAATTGAGTCATCCAGTGCATCCTCAATTCTTCTCAATTGAGAGGTATACTCCTCAAGAAATTTCCCATAATTCTTAAGCTGGACTTCAGCATGAATTTCTAAATATAAATTTGAAAAGTTTGTGAGAAGTAATGAATTACAAGACATTTACTTCAAATATTCTCAAAAGTCACAGAAAAGTAGATACTAAGCATTGTTAATGTATCACCTTGGAATGTCTGGACTTCTTGAAAATAAAGTTCTGAAGTTAAACAGTAACTGAACTTTCTATCTTTTCCAAGTAGAACAATAATTGTACATACAGTAGATGGTACTTTAAGAAATCATCTTAAAACCATAACTTTAAAGTACTATGAAAAAGTCACTATTCCATTTACCCTATAATCTAAACAATCTGAAAATGCCTTAGACAACTCAATGTCCTAATTCTATATTTTAATTGTAAACAACTATTTTGTGCAAAAAAGCTGATTTAGGTGCAAAAATCTGAGCTGTCACAGAAGCAAAATTTCTAACTGTAATGCTTAATTACACAGTAAGCTATGCCTAAAAATACACCTAAATATTGTTTTTGAAATGATTTTAGACATGCTTCATCATATTATTTCTGTAATGCCCCATTTATATTGCTAATTTTATATTTATAATGCCCCAAGATATACTGTTTTAATTATCATAATAGAATTGGAAAAGCCAGTAAAGGACACTGAGTACAGAACATTGTGTTGATATTTACAGACTTTACACATTAAGACAGGATTCTAGAAGTCACTGAAATAAACTGGACAAAAAAGTTTCCCTACTCATCAAAATTAGTGGTAAAGAAATTGCTTGTCAATGCAGGAGATCAAAGAGATGTTGGGTTTGAAAGATCCCCTGGAGGAGGGCACAGCAACCCACTCCAGTATTCTTGCCTGGAGAATCCCATGGATAGAGGAGCCTGGCGGGCTACAGTCCATAGGGTCACAAAGAGTGGGACAGGACTGAAGTGACTCAGCACCAGACATTATCTCATTACTTACTCCAAAGGGAGCAAATGCAACTCCAACTCAGATTCTCTTACTGATGTGAATTACTTTATTCAATCGCAGACTTCTTAAAAAAGTAAAACTTCCCTCTCCTCAAATTGGCAATGCAAAGCAACTATAAGTATGTTCTAATTCACTGAAGACCTAGCTTCACATTCTCCTCTATTTTGCAACTAATGTTTGGAATCAGGTGGATTCATTTAATTAACTTAATGCTTGGAATCAGGTGGATCCATGTAATTAAGGTTCCTGCTTCATTATAGCGTTAATTTAGGCAATTCTGAAAAACAATATAAATGATTCATATTCCAAAAATTAATGAAAACCAGGCCCAGAGAAGAGAGCTCTTCCCTTCCTTACAGCTTAAATTTTAAAAACTGTGTAAGACTCTCAAAATCCCAAGTATCTAATTTTCAGTTACAAGGGAAATGACCAAAGCTGCATTTAACCAGTAAATGACTTCTTAATGACAACGCTACAAAAACATGCCAATGAACTATTCATTTAGTCTGTTTGGAAATTAAAGTAGCAGGCAAGAGAAAACCTGTAATAACATTAAAGTTCCTTGCTGGTAAGTTTTTAAGTTGGTAAAAGTTAAAATAAGATCTGAAATAAGAACTCTACAGTGATTCTTCAAGAATTAAATTCCAAAAACCTATTAACATGCTTATCACTTCCAAGAGACTGAATTCCTTTTTTTATCAAATTTTCCACAGATACAGAGTAAGGAATCTCTATCCATAAAAGTTCATACATGACAAGGTGCAGTTCACTTTTAAGGAAGACAGACCTCTTCTCCACAAACAAGTTGAAAGATCCTGTCACTACCACCAGGATTGTTTCTTCATGCTGTGTAAGAGCTAGTAACTTATGGAAAGTTTTGTGAGAAACTGCTAACCCTCCTGAATTAAACTCACCCTTTTGACAGGCTAATAAAACCTAGTTACATCTAATGTGTCTGTCTCTGTAAAAATTAAGCAAAATTTACACGTAATTTTAAAAAACTACACCTTTTGAGAAAACTACATAAACAAATTCACAAAGCAGTTAAGGCCTAATATCTCTTATTTAAATCACCTATACAGATTCATGTTACCAAAGATAAGACACAGATTTCCAATTTGTATTCATTTTAAGTAGTTTCAATGAAATAGCTTGTCCTCTAAATTTTGCTACGTGGAACTGAATTTGTTAGGTTTTGGGGGTTGGACTTCTAATTTAAATTGAGACAATCCAATTTTATGAAGTAAAATCTGCAGGAGATATGCTGTTAATTTCCAAAACCTTTCTAGGTGCGCTGGAAACCACAGGGCATCACTTTTGAAAAATACCACTAAACATAAATAAAAGACATGGAAGGTAATAAATTGACATTCACGTGTTTATTTTTCACGCGTGAGTTCTTTTTCACTACCTTCTATAGTTCTAAGAATATGAAGGCAAAAACACTCAAAACTTCCCAAAGTTGGTTTGGGAGGAAAAAGAAGAAAAACAGGAAACCGAAACAGGAACCTGGACCTCAACCTCACCTAAAACTGCACGCTCGAAGGATCTGGCGAAAGTCCCAGGAGACCAGGGACCAGGCCGCCCCCGCTCCCCAGGATGCGGACCTCCCCGGGGGCGCCCCGCCCGGGGCCCCGGCTGCTCCAAGTGGACACGCCGCGCCCCCCGGGCCACGGCGCGCTCCGCAGGACAGTCACAGCCCCATACGCCAAGCCCTGGTCCGGCCTGCCTCACCCACCATCCCTGGGGCTCCCGACCCCGAAAGTTAGGCTCGCGAGCGCGTCCCTCTCACACCCCAAGGCACAGAAAGCTGCGCGCCCACCGCATCGCAAAGCCCTCCCGCAGGAGCGCTGCCCGGACAGCGGCGGGCCGATGAGCGTTCACCCGCAGCCCGCGCCCTGCCGCTCCCTTACTCTGTGAGCCATCGTCTACGCGGTCGAACTCCCAGTCCGGGGACAGAGTCTCCACCGCCATCACCCCGGCGCCTCCCACAGTCACAGCCCAAACCAGCCTTGGCTAAGACGGCGGCCTCACCCCGGCGGCTGTAGCAGCACGTGACTTCCGGATTCGGCCCCGCCCCCGCTCGCGAGGGCCGGCTGGGCTAAACGCCCCTGCGGGCCGCGGGGGCCGCTGGGAAACCGAGTCCTCCGCGGGGGCCGGCGGAGGCCGCCACAGCCGTGGCGGCGGTCCTTTAGAGGTCCCCGGCTTCCTACTTGGGCGTCGCAACCATCAGTTCATTTCTCACGCCACATCTCTATACCTTCAGTTTAGCCCTGCGGTCTCCAGGAACTTTTTAGTACTAGAAGAGTTGCTTCCTCATTCTAGCCTAAAGAGGGCAAAATTGATGGGGTGAGAGCTTAATGGGAAGGCGTGGTCACTAGGACATCGCCATCCCAGGCACTTGATACCAGAAGCTCGTTTAGCCAACGACTTCCCGGTCGCCAACGTTCGAGCTCTTGCCGCTCTTGTTCTGCACTCCCTATGCGGGTTGTTCTTGAAGGGAAAAACCAAAAACGGTGTGCAAGAGGAGTTACTTTAGGAACCCATTTAAGTGAGGAATTTTACTACTCTGCTTGTCTTGCACTCATCAGCTCTCTTCACCTGAGCTTCGTGCTCAGTCATGTCCGACTCTGTTCGACCCTATGGACCATAGCCCACCAGGGGATCTTCCTGACCCAGGGAATGAACCGGCATCTCCTGCATTGGCAGGTGGATCCTTTGACCACTGAGCCGCCTGGGAGGCCCCGGCTCTATTCATACCTCTTCTTACAAAGCCAGAGGGGAAGAAGCGCAGTTGAAGTGGCTATCTGTTGTGTCCAGTTGCGCAGTCATGTCCAACTCTTTGAGACCCCATGGACTGCAACCCTCCAGGCCTCTCTGGCCCTCACCATCTGCTGAAGGTTGCCCATGTTCATCATGTCTGTTGCATCAGTGAGGCCATCCAGCCATCTCATTCTCTGAGACCTCTTCTTCTGCCCTCGGCCTTTCCCTGCTTCAGGGACTGATCCAGTGAGTCAGCTCTTGGCATCAGAAGACCAAAATACGAGAGTTTCAGCTTCAGCATCAGTCTTTCCAACTAGTACTCAGTGTTGATTTTCCTTAAGATTGACTGGTTTGATCTCCTTGCTGTCCAAGGAGCTACCTGTGCCTACCTGCTAACAGGCTTTTCAGTGAGCAGGAATCTGCGTTACTCAGTAATGCTACATGTCCACATGTATTTGCACAACAGTGTTCATTGCTGCATGGTTTTCAGTAGATACTAGTAAAAAAAACCCTGTGCATGTCCATCCCTGGGGAGTAATTACACAAAGTTGAATATGTCTGTGCTGTGAAATACTAGATAACTGTTTAAAGACATGGAGTATATTTATAGAGACATGAGAAAGTAACAGGAGGTAGTTGCAGGAAAATGTGTGTTTGTGGTTACATTTGTGTTTTCGTGTAAACCTGTACTGGCATATGTGCATTAAATGCATATAAAGAGAAGTCACTACACAGGACAGTGGTCAACTGGAAAAGAGTATGTATTGGTGCTTGCTGCTGCTGCTAAATCACTTCAGTCATGTCCGACTCTGTGCGACCCCATAGATGGCAGTCCACCAGGCTCCGCTGTCCCTGGGATTCTCCAGGCAAGAACACTGGAGTGGGTTGCCATTTTCTTCTCCAATGCATGAAAGTGAAAAGTGAAAGTGAAGTTGCTCAGTCATGTCCGACTCTTCATGACCCCATGGACTGCAGCCTATCAGGCTCCTCCATCCATGGGATTTTCCAGGCAAGAGTACTGGAGTGGGGTGCCATTGCCTTCTCCAGTATTGGTGCTTAGAAAGTGAATTTTCAATTTTTATTGTGTCTACCTACATGTTTTTTAATCTTTAGCAATAAGAATTTGTGAAGGTCTTCTGTAATCTTAAAAAGAACCAAAAATAGCAAAGCAAGTAAACAGCCTCTTGAGGAACATTCCTTGAGGCCCCTGAATCTGCAGTTGGTCAAATATTTGAGGACCCACTAGGTACCAGGCACCATGCTAGATGTAGAGATTGTTATGGAAAAACAGACCAGAAAGGTGGATCCCATCCCTGTGGTACTTGCAGTCTTAGCGGGCTTTTTTTTTTTTTTTTAGCGGGCGTTTTAGAAAGGGAAAAGAGAAAAATTTTGAAAATAACAGGAAATATCAGTGCTGAATGGTTAGCAAACTTTTTCCTTTTACTTCTGTGTGATCATGAATTTGACTGTGCTATATTCTTCATGTTTGTGCTAATCACTGTAATTAATCCGCTAGTAGCTCATTATGATACATTGAAATTAAAGGTCAGAGCAATTTGAATCTGCATATTCACTAATCTATTAAATCAGTGCGAGAGGCAGTTTCATTTAATAATTAAAAGCACAGTTTCTGCAGTCAAACTGTGTAGGTCTGAATCATAGCTCTGCCACCTACTAGCCATGGGGTTTGGGGCCAAGTAATTTAAGCTCTGCCTCAATTTCCTCATTTATAAAGTGGGAGTTATAGTAGGAAAATCCTCATAGAATTGTTATGAGGACTAATTTAGTTCATACATGTAAGAAGTATAGAGCAATGACAACTACATGTTATAGAAATGCTTGCTGTTTTGAACCTTTATAACCTAATTTTAAAAGAAATCACAGGGATTGCCTGTCTTGAGCTTGCATATATTAAATCAAATTCCATGCCTAGAACTTCAAATTTTATTAGAGAATTACAAGTCAGAGACTAAATCTAAAGCACATTAACTATTAACTGAAATGTGCTATCTAAAAGTTATTTATTACAACAGATTTTTCTGTATTTCTTAGGCATAGGCTATTGAAGGCAAATAATCATTTTGAAAAATTAAATATCCTTCTCTCTACTTTTCATCACTCTTAACAGTACTTTCTGAAAGATAAGCTTGGAACTAGAAGGGGCAATATTTTATATGTACAGTATCATGCTATTTTGACATGATAATGACATGATAAAGTTCAAAGAACTTTAAAACAATTGCCCTCAGAATGTGCCTACCCACAGGCACCTAGCAATCCTTTCACTTAACTCTGCTACCCACAACTTAAACTTAACTAAAGGTTTATTTCATACAGAAACATAGTACAGATAGTAGTGCTAAAGTCTTGATGAACTAGTTTCTTAATATATGTTTAAAATATGTTTCTTACAATAGAAAATCTATGGTAATAACTCTGTTATTTCTGTTAGTAATTTGTCAGATTCCTATGTGTATCTGTCAAAAAGATTCCTAATATGTTAATACTCTTGCTTCTTGCAAGGGAAGCTATGACAAACCCAGAAAGTGTACTAAAAAGCAGAGACATCACTTTGCCAACAAAGGTCCACATAGAAAAAGCTATGATTTTTCCATTAGTCATGTATGGATGTGAGAATTGGACCATAAAAAAGGCTGAGCGCTGAAGAATTAATGCCTTCAAATTGTGGAGCTGGAGAAGGTTCTTGAGAATCACTTGGGTTGCAAGGAAATCAAACCAGTCAATTCTAAAGGAAATCAATCATGAATATTCATTGGAAGAACTAATGCTGAAGCTGAAGCTCCAATACTTTGGCCACCTGATTGGAAGAGCCAACTCACTGGAAATGACCCTGATGCTGGGAAAGATTGAAGGTAAAAGAAGAGGGTGGCAGAGGACAAGATGGTTAGTGGCATCATTGACTCAGTGGACATGAGTTTGAGCAAACTCCAGGAGATAGTGGAGGACAGGGAAGCCTGGAGTGCTGCAGTCCATTGGGTAGTAAAGAGTTGGACACGACTCACTGACTAAACAACAATATTAGTTCATATATTTCCCTCATGGCTCAGATGGTAAAGAATATGCCTGCAAAACAAGAGACCCAGGTTCCATCCCTGGGTTGGGATGGGATGATCCCCCTGCAGAAGAAAATGGCACCGCACTCCAATATTCTTGCCTGGAGAATTCCATGGACAGAGGAGCCTGAAGGGCTGCGGTCCTTTGGGTCACAAAGAGTCAGACATGCATCTCTATGCCAAAAACTCCAGTCTTAATTACAATAAAATTTTAAGTGTTGCTGTCTTGTTAGACAAGCCCCATACCTGTTTTCTCCTCAGGGGTATTTTTATTTTTGACCCTTTGATTTTCCAAATACATTTTAGTCAGTTTGTGGATTTCCAGGGAAACCCTGTTGGAATTCTAATTGAGATGGCACTAAATCAATTTGGCAGGAATAGATCTCTCTTCTATAGGTATTGAGTCTTCCTAACACTATCGCTCATTTGGGTTTTCCTTAAAGTCTTTCAGCAAGTGTATAATTTTCTTTCTAAACTTCAGAGTTTTCATAAACTCCTTGCACATCTTTTGTCAGACTTACTCTTTTTTTAATATTTTTATTTATTTGGCTGTGCCGGGTCCTAGTTGAGGCACGTAGACTTATTCTTTTATTAATGAATTTATTTTGGGCTGTGCTGTGTCTTTGATGCTGCACACAGGCTTTCTCTGGTTGCGGTGAATGGGGGCTACTCTTCGCTGGGGTGCTTGGGCTTCTCATTGCCGTGGCTTCTCTGGTTAAGGAGCACAGGCTCCAGGGCCCGAGGGCTTCAGTAGTTGCAGCACATGGTCTCAGCACGCAGCATGTGGAATCTTCCCAGGCCAGGTATCGAACCCGTGTCCCCTCCATGGGCAGGCCGACTCTTACCCACTGAACCACCAGAGAAGTCCATGTCACGAAGACTTATTCTTAAAATAAATTTGCTTTCAATGTTTGCGATTATAAACCGAATAATTTTTAATGTTTTCTAACAGTTTCTTGCAGGTGTATCAAAGTAATGGATTTTTATATATGGAACTTATATTCAGTCAAATTCTCCATTTAACTGTAACAAATTGCAGATTCTTTTGCATCTTTTCCTAAACAGTTATTTTGTCTGTGTGTAAGGATATTTTTGGTTTTCCTTTTTAATCCTTATATTTTTTTCTCGTCTTACTGCATTCTCTAGAGCCTTGTACACTGCTGAATAGAAGTGGTGATAACAGACATCTGTGTCTCGCTCCCAATTTTCTGAAGGAAGTGCA